GATCCACACCTTCCTAATTGTGGCAGTGGTCACCGGCTCGATCGGGTATTGAGGTGCTGTTGTGTCCGATTCTCGATTGATCGCAGTGTACACAACAAGATATCAGACGATGACACACAAGGAACACACGTATCTCAACGGCCACACTAATCGTCTAGCCCCACGAGTACGACCACAGCACAGGTTGGATGTCACGAACACTAGTAGCCTTATCCCAGCTACGTAAGCAAGAACACATTTAGTGCACAGCGAACGTGTACTTGACACACAGGAAGCAAGTCAATTTACAAGTTTTATTCTGATGTTTATATGTGACTCAAAATAGCATCGAATAATGCAAGAAAAAGATTGTGCCAATCAAGTATACAGTTAGCAAAGTTCAATCGGTCATAGGTCACGGGTCAGACGGACGGAGTGAATGTATCCGTATGACGCAATATCATTGAATAATCTCCGCGAGATTAATATCGATTTTAGATGCCCTCATTTGAAAATACTCGAAAAATAGGCAGTTTTAGGGGAAAAAAATCTTTTTACCTAACATCCATGCCTTCTGAGGGATAAACCAGACGGACCTCGGATTTGCCACTTTAAGAGAAGTTGATATAGGTGATCGGGTCATCTATTTTCTTCTCACAATGCTTTGTGTCCTCAGGGCAACATTATGAACCGTCGATTGATGACTCGCCAAAATTTGGTTGTCGTGTAGAAACGAAACGCGTACTACTGCGGGTGCGCGAATCGATGAACATTAAATCCATCACCGTTTGGCTAATCGACCTCAGGGTTCTCCTGATCAGTGATGGCAAATTTCTTCTGAAATCTCGAGTATCTCGGGTCGTACTAGCTCAACAGTTCGATGTAACTTCCGGATATTTCGATGGCCCAATTCATGTGGTACGGCAGTCACATACGCGGCTATTGAACTTTGAATTTCATAAGTTTGTGCACAATCCTCCATAACATATTCCGTATATTTATAAAATTGAAATCTGCCTCTCTACAAAACAATACTCATACGTTCACTGTTACCAAGCGGACTCAGCTTTGGGATATATTTATCTGACTAATGGAAATCTCGGCACACATCATCAAAAATATTATTAATGCCGGAAACAATGCGTTGTCTTTTTATGTGCGCTTCAAGCAAACACTGCTGAATTTAAACGGAATGTCATTCGACTAATGCGCTTATTTCATTATTATTTATTTACCTGTCTCGTTTCAGAATAAACAAACGGGGCCCTATTCGAGCAATCCATTGAACTCGGGTACTGTTCAATCGGCTTGATCGTCGTTCAATGGCTCGCCTGGAATATCTCATTTCCTCCATAACATTTTTCACAATTGTCAGTCAACTAAAAGCTCCATCCTATAAAATCGATAATCCTTCCCAATTGCAATAGCCTTCTCAGTCTACTTCTTTTATGTGACACAGTTTTCTATGAAAAAAAATACATTTTGTCAAAATATTCAGAAACAACTGTTCTTCGTTTGAACCGCTGTGCCGATAAATATCTGGAAAAGTGTCTGGGGTAGACAGTTCCACGTTGATTATTTGAAATCAAGAATGCATGAAACAGCCAATGATTTGTGATTTATTTCTATTATTTTAATTCCATGACGATGTTTTCTTTAGTTCCCTTCGGTACTGGTAACAGAAGAAGCCGATTCGCCTAATAAAAACCGCACTCTCACAATCCGAATGCATTATTCCATTCGGGAGAACCGAGTCAAATGTGAAATCATCACCGGGTGCTCTAATACTCATCTATGGAACAAGATCCTTCTTGCCGTTAGATTCATACATTCTACCGATATGGCTTTATTGAGTGCCAGAGTAAAGCCACAAGTTTGCTTTTCCAATCTCAATTGATTCAAACATAACTACAGTTACCGGACAATACCTGTACTCCATGTTCATTCTCAATATCTGTATAATCAGTTTGAATGCTTAAAAAATAACTGACATTGATCACCAAAAATGAAAAATTTTAAGCCTTTGCAAACGGCGATTTATCCTCGCAGTAACTGATTTCCTAAACTTGCGTGGGAGCACATACCTGGAGAAGGTTAGTGGCGTACACTTTATCAAATCATTCATCCAACTTACTCATTTGGAGCCAAGGAAATGGATTGTGTAGACCCTATAGTCTCCGTCGGTATATTTGGAGTATTTGGGCAGTAATCGTTTATTAAGTCGGAGACCAAATCGGGTGGACTACTGGGGTAATCCGAAGCACAATTTCAATACAAACTCTGCACGAGACACTTCACTCTCATTTGAAAGCTGTAGATTTGTTTCGAGTCCAGCTCCATCGAACATCAACCACCTCTTAGGATCACGTTTTTGTCTCTGTTGTGTAGTTCGAGAGGAGCCACAGATTTTCCCGTAAACCTGTCATGATAAAGATACGTATTAATGCAAGATGACTAAACTGGAAAAAATAGTGATATTTTTTAGTTCATAATTGATGATAGACTGATAAACGCTATGTGACAAACGAAATCATTCATCTAGTAAACGCGTACGTGACTCACCAAACAGAGATAGCGCTGACTCAAGTTGCTTAGCAATTCATTTGAGTTTACTGTATATCGAAACAAATTCAACTACAACTAATGATTAAATAGGATTTCCCAAGGAGCTTTGACAATAAATTTAGAAGCCAAAATTAAAAATTCTGGAAAAATAAAATACCAAAGCATTTATAGACTTTGGTAATTGTTTATTTTACCAGAATAGAATCCGACATACATTTTGGAATTTGAATCTCTCCCTCGAATGAAATACATGAACTCAAATGTTTATTCTGAACTATTTGATATATTCCCTTGATAGCATTGAGAAACCAAGTCGGTGAGCGAACAATGGTTTTCGAATATTCCTAGTCTCCCGAAAATCCATAAAGAAGGAGTTCCAATATGACGTATTATGGCAATGGTAAATTCACCATATCACGCAATGGCGCAGTGTTTGGTCGAATTATTAGAACCCATTCGTCACACACAGTCTCCGAGACAGTTTCCAGTTTTTAGGCAGAATAAAAGACCTGGACCTACAAGAAAAGACGATGTTTTCTTTAGATGTAGTCTCACTGTTCACTAATGTACCCTTGCTGGAGACAGT